CGGATTTCCTTTGTTCGGAAATCTCTTTTGGATTTATAAAACGATTTCTCGAGTTTTATAAAACGATTTCTCAAGTTTTATAAAACGATTTCTCGAGTTTTATAAAATGTATTTTTTTATCTTTTTGCGGGAAGTTTTGGCTATTGATTCCGTCGTACCGATTTTGACCCCAACACACATCAGCATTAGAGCATGGGGCAAAAAAAGACATGTCAGAAACTATTAATTGAAATCAAACCGGACAAAATTAATTCTTCCCATCTCGGTTTGTCACATTCTGATTTGTTGAGTTTTTTGACAAAATAGGTTTGGGCTCTTCAAAATATAATGGCCAGTTATAAAATAATTTATGTATTATCCAACTTGCAGAAATTTTTTTAAAATTTACACACATTCTCAGCCTGTTAAGTCGTCTTCTTACCTTCGGACCTAGTTTTCAGAGATTAAACCGACAGTCACCTTTTTGTAATGTTTTTTTTTTCACCTTTGTAAAGTTTGTTCTCATGCATCCTTATATTTCATATAAAATAATGAACACTTTCACAACTTATAACTAAACAAGGAGCATAGTTTGTATCACATATATTGCAACATCTTCGACGTTTTAGTGTACATAATTTAAAGTAACAAATGATAATAATTCACACAAATTAGTAGAATTATGAAGATACCATCATAGAAAATTATGAACACTTTCATAACTCATATAAGATTAGACAAATTACAGAGCTAATGAACACTTGCACAACTTCTAAAAGAATAAACAAAGAGCAGAGCTTATATCACTTTGTTTAAACAAAGGTCGGAGCTTATATTACTTTAGTTTATGATTGCCAGATATATAAGAATCTGTTCAAAAAAAAATGATTCACATATATAAGGTTTTAGCTGGGAAATTTATAAGTAACAACTAAAATGATTCACATATATAAGGTTTTAGCTGGGAAATTTATAAGTAACAACTGATAATAACTAACACAAAATAATACAATTCAGAAGTTACCCTTACAGAAAATTATGAACACTTGCACACCTCATAAAAGATTAGAGACATTTCAGAGCTTATATAACCTATATTGACACATCCTATACGCTTAGAAACCAAGTTTATAAATAACAAACTGCTAAAAATTAACAGCAAAAAATTGGCTTTAAGAAGCTATAACCTTACAAATTAAAGCTTATCGTTGCAGGGTGCCTACATGCCTCCCAACTGAATGATTAGCTCACACTGTAAATGCAGTGTAATTGCAAAAGCCAGTAGTTACGTATCTCCTACATTCTTTTACTACACAGTTCTGATGCAATCTTTTGATTCTTGATTACTCAAACATTGCGATTTTCAGAAATAATGTTGAAGATGCCAGTTGAATTTAATGGCAAAGCAACCACAGGGAGATCTCCAAAAAATCTTAGTGTTTCTGAACACTCCACCACATCATCATCATGTGTAACCAAAAGAGGTCATAAAATAAAAAATTGGTCCAAAGGAGACGTAAATTTATTCTTTATGACTTTGACAACTTACTCTTTTGTAAACAAATTTATGTACTTATTCCTACTCTTTAATCTTTGTTCCTCCAACATCTGAACCACGACAGCCTTGGCTACAAGAGCAATATCTACCACGGCAATGCTAACAAGAAACTTATGTTCGGGACAAGAACTTTCTCTGAAAACACCGCACCTGACGGTGGACCAACGGTAGAGGATATTGAGCATAAGGAAGCTATGTTTGAAGCATTAGGGTTTACGTTTGCCTTTTGTATCTCTGATTATCTACCTATGCTCACATGACTTGATCTTAACGGTCACAAGAATGGTGGCGTTTAAGATATAAACAATCAGTCTAGGATTGTTACTATATCGTGTATAAGATATAAACGTTCAGTTTAGGATTGTTACTATTTTAAGAGGACGAAACTATATATTATCTTCCTTGAAACAACATAATCACAAAACAAACACAACTATTTACATTTTTAATTCACAAACATGAACTTTACTTTATGTTTAAGTATTTACTAAATTAATTTTGTAAAGTCTATCAAATTTTTACTCTACTTTTATTTGTTTCGATTAATAACAACCACTTATGCTACTCCACTAGTAATCAGAAAAGATCATTGCCTTCAACATAGTTACAACATCAAATTTCTGAACATAATCTCTTCACTAAGGCCACAAAATAAATCGCAACTTCTTTTATAATAACATACTAGGATAAGACCTGCGCCTTGCGCAGGGTGAATATACGTAATTAAAATATAAAAATTTAGTATTGATAAATTTAACATTTACATATAATTGTTTTATATGTATTTGAAATTTTAGAATTTTAGAATTTTTAATTAATTATCTATACGTAGGATCAGAAAAAATTGTAATTAGAACTGTAGATCAAATTTTAGAACTTAATGGACCCGATTTCATATATCTTTTCACTTTTTAGTGTTCGAGTGATGGAAAATAAACAGAGTGTCACTGGGCTTGATTGGTAGAGTATTAACAAATTTCTTAATGTTTTTTTAAGAAGCAGTTGGTAAAATTATTGCATTTAAAATATATAAAGTTTCAAAACTAATTTAATATAATTTATTTATTTGTATAATAATATTAGAAAACTATATTTTTTACAAATTATTATTTTTAAAATAATTTTATAAAAAATTAAGTTAAATGTTAAATTATTTTTAAAAACAATATTTTAAGTTTGTCAAATAGAAAAATTTAAAATTAGTTATGGTCATGATTTAACATAATCATAATGATTTAAAAAATAAAAAAATAAAAAATTAACATATTAAAATTAACTCAGTTTTATATCATGATTTAACAATTTAAAAATTACTTATGGTTATGAGAAGTTTACGTTCACGTGTTAATCCTATTTATCTTCAATTTTTTATTTTGTTGTGTTTTTTTATATTTTGGTTATTACTAGATATAAATATTGATTTTGAAGTTTATTCTCATTTCGTTTATTTGTTTTGACCTGAGATTTAGAAAATACTTAAGATTTAAAATAATTAAAAAGATACATACTTAGGTTAAGATCTGCACTTTATGCACAATAAGTATTTTATATTTATAATTTATTTTATAATTTTCTGCATATCATAAAATAATAAAATAATAAATATATATATATATTACATAACTAAGAAATTAGTCATTATTATGTAATAAATTGACGTATGCATATAAATTTAACTATCACTCTTGTTTATTCGCAATTAGCGTAAATAAATCAAAATAACCAATCTTATATATTGTATATGATATATAATTAAATTTGAATGATATATAGTAATATGGCACACTTTTAATATTGATATTTATTAAATGAGGTTTCTACTCATATGATTTTATGATTATTTGCATATTTGTGTAACAAAACTTTACACCAACGATTTTTTTAATGTGAGATGTTTAGTAGTTTCAATAATTTATAATCATTTTTAAAAAATGACATATTTTAAAATTAAAATATTAACTTTTCAATATATGTTGAAGACAATCAAAATATAAGTATGTATTTTCATACGATTTATAGTTTAATTAAAACGATATGAAATATATATATAAACTAAAATTATTTCTTCATATGGTCTTATAATCATTATATTTTAATATAGAAAACAAATTAAAACCTTGATCTTAAAAGTTTATGTGAGACTTTTAACAATTTTAGTAATTTATACTCATTTTGAAAAATTCGAAATACAACATACACGAAAAAAAATCTAGATTTTTATTATATGATTAATGTAACTGTGTAATTTATTTTAATAATAAATAAATAAACAAAATGAGAAAAAGTATACAGATTGTTATCAAATCTTTATTGTTAAAAATCATTAATTGTCATATATATTTTAATCTCATTAGGTAATTCCGTATGTTTTATTTAAGGAAAGCATGCGAAACAATAAATATTTGATATATACGACCAACTATAGTCTACGAAATATTATATTTCTAGAGAATATAATTTTTAGACTATACATTATATCACATGCTCTAGAATCCTTGGGATTTGAAATAGAAGCCAAATAGCTATGACACATAGGATTTGAGTTATTTTTAATTCTTACAAACTTAAGGTTACAACTTTTTAAATGATTCTCAAATAATATATAGGGGATATGAATACGGCACGTAGAGCCGGCACACCACTGGTAAGAACAGATCTGAAAATAAACAAAAATAATAGTAATATTTATTACAAAATAATATTTATTTTCAAACTCCAATAACTATATAATAAATTTAATAAATAAAATATTGTAAAATTTACAAAAAAAAATATAATCCTTATATAATTTTATATTAATTATATACAAACTTATATGTATATGTATAAACGGATCAATGTAGATATCCATTCAAAAAGTATAAATATTTTGATATTATTATTTTTAGATAATATTGGATATTAAATATTAGTATTTGTTTTTTTATAATTATGGATACCAAGAAATTTAGGATAAGACTAAAATGGATGTAATCAGATCAAATTTTCAGATATCTAAAATATTAAAACTGAAGTACAAAAATAAAAGAACCCAGATTTTTCCTCAAAAATTACATATCCACTAAATTATATATATATATATATATTTAATACTCAGTTTAGCTTGTTTAAGTAATCAGATTTATTTTTGGGAAATTTGCCAAAAAGGGACAAAAAAACACACTTATTGTCTCCTTAGAATAAATATAATGTTTAATGTCCCCTTAGTACAAAGTATAAGGAAAACCCAATTCAGTCCTTCGTATTTAGATTTATAAATATAATTAAAATGTAAAAACATAAAAATAAGGATTAAAATAGGTATAATATGATATTAGTAAATTTAAAAAAAATTCCTAAATCCCTAAACACAATCGTCTCCAACATTCTTCATCGAAGTTCATGAAGGCGATTCCCGTGTTCACCATCAACGTGGTGTCTCCGGCGCGTCTTGGTTCGCCGCAAACTCTAAGTCTCCATCATCATGTATGCTTCTCCACTCTCTATCATGGCTCTCATCTCTCTCTATTTACCCTCCATGGTAACGGGAGAAAACTCTTCTGTGGTATCGCAGCTACTGTGTTCTCCACTCTCTATCATGGCTCTCGTGCTGCTCTATTATTACGACGTGTTCAAATGGTATGACACTGAAGCAAGAGTATGGAGGCAGATGAAGGGTTTGAAAGGACTGCCTAAGTTTGCCAGTTATGGTTGTGTTAAACTGGCGGATTATGGTGGAAAGATGGCGGTTTTGTGGGATAAGTATTTGCCTTCTAGTGGATATAAGAAGAAGACGATTTGGTGTGCTGTGATTTCACTTGAAAGGCCCAACAGTGAAGAGATTTGGGGGAAGGTTGAGTGGCTTGATGCTGTGCTCACGGTCCCTGAATCTTATGAATTCGTGTGTGCTCTTGCTGCTACTGTTTGATGTATTGACATACAGAGAAGGTTTGAGTGAGTGATGTATGTAGACGATTAGTTTGGTTTTCATCGGCTGTGAAAGTAGGAGATTATCTTCTTCTTTTTTTGTCATAAGAGATTATCCTTTTTGGTACTGTTTTTGTTTATTAGGAAGGCCTCTCTTTTCGTATTATGAGAAAAACTGTATAACAAGATTATTGAATGGGTAGTGATCGGCTCTTGAGTGATTCGGGTAGAAGAATTAGCTTGGTTTGCATTAGGCTAGAATGTAGGGATCAGCTTATTCTGCGGCTGTTTTTGCTGAAATTAAAGGCATGTTTTGAGTTATTGCTGGATGAATCTTTAGTTGTCGTGGCCAATATTGTATAATTCTGTCTGACATCGTTCCCTTGTGTAAACCTTTGACTGGTTAGTGTGACCTATGAAACATTGTTTTAGTTGAATACAATGTTCACTACTTTCATGTACTAAAAGAGAAGTAAAAATTGCAAAACTGATTGTAGTTTGGTGGTCAGCTGTACATATAGGTGGCTTTCTGTTTCTTAATGACTCGCTGATGAAGTTGCAGAACTCTCTTGTTATAAAATCAAATGGCTTCGTTCCCATTTTTTGGTCTAGTGGAAAATGACAACAGTAATCAAAATGCTGGCTCTCATGCACTATAATGTTAGGTGGCTTACGTAGCTAGTTTGAAACGTAGACAAAGAAAAGTATTAATTAACTTTTTATTAAAGGTGTTTACCTGTAGATTTTGTATTAATGTTTGTAGAAAATATACAATCTCGACTCTAGAGTTTCAAACATTGAACTCTTATCCTCCTAGTAAAAATGGAGCCCACCCGTCCCATCTTTAACCTTATACTTAGTGCAATACTCTTGTTTGTTACTCTACAACTCATTGGTCTAGTTAAACATTATTTTATCTAATTTCCTTCTATCATCATAATGTCGATGTCAATTGCCTCCAAATCTTATAGCATCAGAACGCTGCATAAATACCATCAGCTAGGGACGATATTACTGATTCTGACTTTTTCCTAAGCAGCAAGAGAAATTATTAAGAGTTTAACTCACGTTAAATATTAATGAATAAACAAAAAGGCTCTATGGTGTAGTGGTTAGCATTTTATTTTAAATGTTAAAAAAAGAAATAAAAATATTTAGAGAATATTTACTTTCAGATTTTGCTAGATTTTTGGATTGTGGCTCATAAACCGTTGGTAGAAGATACATTCTACCAAATTTTCCATTAGTTTAACCAGTGGAAACGTAATCCCACGGGCGTAGACAAAACATTAAAATTAAGAAGATATGTTCTTCCAAGGTAGACGCATGGGTCTTTATTATATGTTATGTTCTACTGAAACTGCATAACAAAGAAGGAATGCCAGTTATCATATTCTTCAATCGTAGATGTATATGTTTTTGGTGTATTACGCATTCTAAGCCCCGTAGATGGATTAGTTGTTAGTAGATTGTACACTCTAAACAGCCGTAGCTCGTAGATCTGATTTACTACCCGATTTATCCAATTTTTGATATTACTATTCCAAACATTTTTCGAATGTAAAAATATTTTTCATATATTCACATGCTACTCTATTTCATATTGTATATTTTTCCTCAATTTTTTACCTTGTAAATTTTTTACTTTGAATTTTTATATACAAAAAGGGTAGTGAAGGTCCAAAAGTGCCAAAATTTGATTTTATTCTAAGGGGACAATAGTTGTGTTTTTCGATCCCCTTTTGGCAAATTTCCCTTTATTTTTTGTACTTGACTCATATAAAACTTGTACTTATTCTATCAGCTATTTGATATGGTTTATTACTTGCTAAGTTTATTATTTGAGTTCAAAATACTTGAATGTTTTACTTGAATATAAAATACTTGAAGGTTATTTATATACGAATAATATATTTTGGTTAAAATTTAACTTACTAAAATTTAATATTTTAATGTGGTATTTGATTTTACAACTATAAATTAAAAGTATTTCTAAAAACAAAATGTTAACGATTTTTAATGAATATTAATATTAATGATTACATCAAATAATTAATAACAAGTAAATAGATCGAGTAGTAAGAAAGTTAAAGATAACAGATATTTGACTTGTCGTTAGCAATAATAAAATTAATATTTGTTATCTGACTTAATAATTGCAAATACTTTATTTTCAAGCCGTATACGGCCAACATCAAGTACAAACCGAATAACAAATAATTACGGTCCTAGCTCTAAGGAACAAATGTTAATAATTGAGACGTTAAAAACTAAAAATCGTTTAATTTTATATTTTGTTTACTCTCTTATACTTTCTCCATTTTTAATACTTGATCTTCTAAGATAATTATTTTTATTCTAAACTAGACTAAAAATTTTGAATTTGTAATAAAAATTTATTAACAATTAATGTTATATGATCCCTGATATTAGATTTTTTTACTATTGGTCAAATAATGTTTAGGTAAATAATTACTCATATTTTTGTTTAAAAATATAAAAATTAAATTTTTATTAATTTTTGTGTTCAATCATTAAAGCGGAAGGAGTGTTATATTAAGAGCATCTCCAAAAGACACTTTATAACACTAAATATAGAGTTTTTGACTCTCAAAAAAGAAACTTCCAAACTTCAAATTGAAAGTTTCATCTTTTCATTTGCATTTTGGTCCTTATAATTAATTATATATTATATTTAGGATTTTTCAATATTTTCTCGTTTAACATTTTAATCTTTAAACTTTTTATAGCTTATAAATATTTCAGATTTGTTTTTATAAATTTAAGTTTTATACATAAAACTTTAGAATAAAATTTATATTATTTTAAAACTAAAATTAGACTTCACGAATATTAAACAAGAAACTTAAAAAAAACTTTTTAAAAAGGTACATGAAAAGCATAGTTATTACATAAATTTAAATATTACAATAATATTAATAGTATGATAAAAAATTTCTGAAACCTTCAAAATCACCAAAATATTATCCAAATAAATAGTGTAATTGAAGATGGAGCATTATGGAAATAATTATATGAAATAATGTGATATTTTGTTTGTATTTTATTATTTAGTTATGAGTTTTTTTTTTTTCTTTTGAGAAAGCGTTTTACCACCGACAAATGTTGTGTTTGCGATAATGGAGGGGTCACTGAAGTCCAAAATCCACCAGCTATCGGTCCCAAAATAGGTAGGGGCAAGTCAATACGACACTAATGGGGCACGTGCATCCACTACAAAAGCCTTCTACAATGGGCCGTGATTATACGCTTTGTTCGGTCAGACTGGTACCCACTTTTTTTTGTGAAACTAAAAACCTCATTTACCTTCTTATATCTTTTTGGGGATTATTTGTATAATAACCAAAAAACTTAATTAGTTTTTCAAAGAGACGGAAAGAGAGAGATAGAAAGAGAAGGGAGGTGACAGAATAGATTTTTGGTTAGTTAGTTAATTTGTGTTTTTAAGTTATTGCACCAAATTTTCCTTTATATTTTTGTTGGTGTTTTATTTTGAGTTGTAGTGATTGGAGGCTAGCATCTGCGGACATTTTCATAAATAGTCTCCAGAAAAAAATTTACATACTTTAAATTAATAAAGTAGACACAAACATATCAAAAATAAGGAAAATGAGAAAAGTCTCTGATTTAAGAGATTCATGTAAAATTTATATTCTTATCACTGATCTGTTTTAGTTTTTAATTTAAAATATTATATTATGAAATATTTTGTCTAGAACGTTAGAGACTATGAATGCTGATGTTCTGAGATTATTATATTTTGAAAAAAAAAAAACAAAAGAACATAGTGATTTGTCACACACAAAAAAAGAATCATATTGGGAGGGGAGCGGGATCTTACTGTAGGCTAAAGATTTTTTCAATTAATAAGAGATAATAATCAATTACAACATATCTATAACGATCTGTAAAGTTTATCAGAGTGTGAGAGTGTGAAACAGTCACTGATAAGTTAAGTTTGTATTTCAAAACAAACTAAGAATTAAGAAATGTTTAGTGTGTACTTTATTGTAGCGGTCGTGACGAAGACGAACTATATATTAGTCGTGCGTGGTATTACTTATAACCAACTACACTATAAATATATCTTATACTATTATTTAGTTACGGAGATAAATGTTTAGCGTTGTGTGATTAAGTTTCATTAGTTGAAGATCATTTAGTTAACAACATTTTCCTTATTTGGGACGGCATAAAAGATACAGTTAGTAAGACCTATGATCAGTAGCAACATATTTGACAACTATCTATGAACATCCACAAATGTTTAGAGTTTTTGATAAGCAAGAAAAATATAACATTCATCAGAATGAAATCTACTTTTATGTTTAGAGTTTATTTTAAAGAAAATATAAAGGTAGATTATAAATAGACTTACATATGTTTAATTTGTGGCGATTTCTTTTTTACCGGAATCGCAAGTAACGGGTTGGCCTTGTGCAAACTAATACCAAAGGCTTCATCCATGTCGACGGTCTTTGGAAGCTTCCAGTCAAAGGAGTAAAGAAGAGAAACAAGCATAAGAGATACCATCTTCACAGCTAAAGGCAATCCTGGACACATTCTTCGTCCGGCTCCAAATGGTGTTAACTCATAATGTTTACCTTTCACATCAGTGACTTTCCCCAAAAACCTCTCTGGCTCGAACCGAGTCGGGTTCTCCCACACGTTCGGGTCTCGTCCTATGCCCCATACGTTCACCAAGACCTGAGCATCTTTAGGCACAAGGTATCCAAAAATCTCTACATCTGTTTCTGCTTTTCGCGGAAGAAGAAGAGGAACATCTGGGTGCAAACGGAAAGTTTCTTTCAAAACCGCTTGTAAATATGGAAACTCTGAGATATCAGGCTCTTGAACTAACCCGTCTTGGCCTATCATACGTTCGATCTCGGCCTGAGCTTTGGCCATCTTTTTAGGGTTTGCAAGTAACTCTGCCATTGCCCATTCTAGGGTACTAGAGCTTGTGTCCGTGCCTGCTACAAACATATCCTGAAATATACGCACATATCGGTGATCTCGACCAGTAATAACAAATTATGCAATTCCAACTAATACATAGGTCTAAAAATGTCTTTATATAATCACATCATCATACCTTTGAGTTTTTCATATCCATCCATGATTTGTTAAAATACTAAGATTAATGAATTTTTTTTTATCTCAGACGTTAATTGCATTAGTCTAAAGTTTTGATTATGTGGAAGATGTTAGGACTTACCAAGAGAAGGTGTTCAATATCATTATTGTCTAGTTCTGCTTCATCGAGAAGCACATCCAAAAAATCGCTGTTGGAAGCATCTTTGGGCTTTCTCCTCAATGATTTTTCCACTGTTTTAGTATCGATGAATCCTTGGAAAACCTTAAACAACTTCTCTGTACACAACTTCATCTTCTTGCTAATACCTTGTAGATCAAGAAACCCAAGAAATGGGAAGAAGTTAGCTAGGTCTGGGCTCCCAGCAGCTTCCATAGCTCCAATAATTGAGTCATAAAATCCATTGGATTTTTCCGAGCCATAGCTACTGAGATCAACCGAGAACAGAATGTTCGATATGATATTAAGAGTTGTGACGAAAGATGCACGAGAAATATCAACAGCTTCTTCTCTCTCGCTGCTTTCATCCATAAACTTTATAAGCTCCTGCACCTTTTTCATCCGCAGAGCTTTAGTGGCTTCAATACGCTGCGGCGAGAACAGGTGAGTCACCGACAGTTTTCTCAATAGTCTGAAACAAATATAACAACAGATGATTACTGTCTTAGGGGTCTTTTGTTGCGTTTGATTTTAATGTTTGCATCTTACTCCCTCCGTTTTACAGAAATACACATTCCAAACAAAAAATGTTTTAAAATACATTTTTTTCCATTTGTATGTATTTCTTTATTAGATAATAATAATAATAATAATAGATTGTAAGCTTTAAAAAATCAAAGTATTCTATTGGTTTCAAACTTTTGAGAAATAACTAATCACATAAATAAAACGTTTATAATTAAATTTAAAGAGAGTAACAAATTACCATGTGAATGAATAACTATGCTTACAAAAGTCAATGAATCATTTAATTTTCCTTATGCCTTTACAAACTAAAAGTTCGGTTTTCTATTATCGTATTTTTATTATGGTATCTTATGATAATTATTGTGTATAAAATAAAAATATAAAGTAAATCATTTATATTTAGCAAATACTGCAACTAAAAATTATGGTCTTTAGTTGGCTTTATAAGTTAAATTTATAGCTAAAGTCTATCTTTTGATAATGAAAAATAAAATAATCTGACTACTAAAAGCCAACGACAAATACAACTATATACATTTGATCTAAATAATCAAAATCTTAACCAGCCAACTTGAGAATCAGAAAATAAAAATAACCCACAGAAAATTAATAATCGGTAGTAGAAAGTACCTCCAACGATCCGACGACGGATGAATCCATGCAACAGAAACTTTGTGGTGATTGATGGACCGTACCGCGTTAGGAGACATACGGCCAGACAAGGTTTGATCGTGTTTTCTTAGAACCTCTCTCGCAGCTTCTGGCGTAGTTATGATCACTGTGTTTAAACGTCCAAACTTTAGATGCATGATTTGTCCATATGTTCTCGAGAGGTCTGCGAATGAACGGTGTGGGAGCTTTCCAACTTGGTGAATGTTACCTATGATCGGTAACCGTGGGGGTCCAGGAGGTAGCGCGGTGGATCGGGTAGAGCTCAGTCGGAATTTTATGGTGGTAAAAATAAAGAAACATGATAGGATAAAGCAAAAGAGCAAGAACATGTTTTCTGAGACAATATCCATCTGTGCTTTCTCAGTTGATAGAAGCTACAAAAAGCTGGTGTTCAAAAAAAAAAAAGGAAACTGCAAAATGCTATATAGATATAGCATAGTAGTTGACCAATGAAATTGATAATAATTATATACTGTATATGATTTTACAGTGTTTATGGAGTTTGGTAATATATTATACAAACTTTGATTGAAAAGAGTCTTATGTGGCATTTGGCTAGCTCCGTTGCATGCTAGTTGTACAAATATTAATTTCTTATTAGTAATTAATAGTGATTTGTGTCACCATGCGTATCACGAGCTAATTAAATATCGTGACATCAAATCCCAAAGAATCCAATGTTTCTTGAAGCAAGGAATCAAGTGGATAGTAGGTAATGGAAAAAGCCTCATGATATGGGAAGATGACTGGATTCACAACAAACCAGCTGTACCTGTTATAGGTATAGGATCAATCACGCATCAATACGCTAAGGTAAATCAGCTCTTCCTTCCTCATACTAAAGAATGGAACGTCCAGCACTCCAGCTGATACATGATTTAATGAGTAGTGAGGATGCGGCTTAGAGCACCATTAAAGGGAGCTCTTAGGTGAACTCTTAACGAGTGAGACCCCCTATTTTATTAAAAACCAACTCTTGAACCTTTTTTTTTAAGAGGCAATTCTCGTACCAATTGCGGGTTTCTACTGACATGTGATGATTCGTAACTAGTTCTTTTTTAATTTTTTTTTTAAGAAAATCAGATTAGAAAAAAAAATCTTAAGTGAGTTCTTAAAATCTTAAGTGAGTTCTTAGGATTAATGGTGTTCTTACATTCTCAACCTGAGGCCCACCGTTTTTGATCATCAAGACATTCTCACTTGGTGCTTCTCAAAACAAATAAACCGTGAAATCATGATATATAACCTTCAAAGACAACTTTTCAACCAAATGTCCCAACAAGGAGACAGCCCTAATAAGATCACCAATGAAGTAAATCAACTATGCTCAGCAATATGGAAATTGGATACGCCGCCAAAGATTAAAGTTTTTGGTGGAAGTTAACTCTCAAGGAGTGGCAGTTGAAGACAATTTGAGAAAAAAAGAAGTTAAAATTGATAGCATCTCCCCAACTTGTGGATAAGAGATTGAAACTCAGAATCATCTTATATTTACTTGTAGAGTATCAAAATAGATTTGGTCCTTTGTGCCTACGGAATACAAAGCTCTGAACATAAACCAAGAAAGCTTTTTTTATATTGTTAAAGAGCTTCTAACTCAGGCTAAAAAGGATCCAAGGGAAGCTTTAAATTTTTTGGTCAGCTGGAAAATATGGAAAATAAGAAACAATATAAGACCATGTCCATCAATTAGAGCCCCTCATGGACTCTAATCAATTAATTAAGAATAAATTTAGAGATTTAAAAGGTTTAGAGAACTTGTTAATCTAATTTAAATTTTGTTCGTCCAATGGTAGAACTTCATTAGAGTTCTTTAAAGAATTCTTTTTAAAGTAGAATAATTGAATTTCATATTATAAAAAACATACATTAAAATTTTAATAAAAAAGACATAAAAGCATATTAAAAATACAAATACGGATCGTAAACGCGAAAAAAACGTTTAGTCGAAATCTTGATTTGTTTCAAATTTTGCCATATATTCTCAACCAAATCAGCTTTCAATTGTTGATGTATTGTTTTATCACGAACTCGATTCCGAATGTTCATCATATTGCCGAGATTTGAAGGTATATCTGAAGAATACGTGAAATCCACTTCTGAACTTCAGGTTGAATCCGGTTGTGCGAAAACTGATACATCAAACTGAGTATACCCATCTTGTTCGTCTTCTACGATCATATTATGTAGAATGATACATGCCCTCATTATCTTTCCAATTTTTATTTCATCCCACAAAAGAGCTGGATTTTTTATTATGGCAAATCGAGATTGCAAGACCCCAAAAGCACGCTCGACATCTTTACGTACAACTTCTTGATGTGTTGCAAATAAGGATGCTTTCGGACTTTGCTGAAGTGGAATCGATTGGACAAAAGTAGCCCATTTTGGATAAATACTATTTGTGAGATAGTAAGCCAAATGGTACTCGTGTCCGTTGACAATGTAATTTACTTTTGGAGCTCGACCTTGTAATATATCATCAAAAACCGGTGATCGATCAAGAATATTGATATCATTTAATGTACCTGGGGGTCCGAAAAATGCATGTCATATCCAGAGGTCTTGTGAAGCTACAACCTCTAAAACAATGGTTGGTTTTCCTGATCCACATGTATATTGACATTTCCATGCGGTCGGACAATTCTTCCACTCTCATTGCATAAAATCGATGCTTTCTATCATCCCGGGAAATCCGTGTGTCTCTCCAATATCAAGTAGTCGTTGAAGATCTTTTGGTGTGGGTGTTCTTCGATACTCATCTCCAAATAAATTGATGACTCCTTGAACAAAATTTTCCAAGCATAAAAGTGCGGTGCTCTCACCAAGTCAGAGGTATTCGTCGACCGCATCAGCTGGGCAACCATATGCCATCATACGAATAGCTGCCGTTGCCTTTTGTAACGCAGAGTGACTGAACCTTCCAGTAGCATCTCTTCTTTGTTGTAAGTATGGGATTTCAGCGGAGAGTCGATCAACAATACGCATGAACAAGGGCTTGTTCATTCGAAAACGGCATCGAAACATGTGAGAATGATATGTTGCATCTTCACTAAAATAATCGTTCCATAACTACATGTGTTCTTGTTCAGATTGTGTTTCAATGTAGGCTCGTTTCTTTTTTGACCTTGATGCTTCTTGGCAATTTTCATTACGAATAAGGAGATTCTCGAATTGTTGATCGAAAATTTGATGAAATCTTTCATCTAATTCATCGAAATTGTTAGAAGAAGAAGAGGCCATTTAGAAAAAAATTAAGAAAGAAAAATGAAAAATATTTGATAAGAAAGAAGCAAGGAGAATGTTGAAAAAACAAAAAGAAGCTCTTGTTCTCTCTGGAGTTGTTGTTGTTGTTTATTTGGAGGTTGATAAGAAAGAAGTTAGGAGAAAATGGAAAAATAAGAAAGAAGTTCTTGTTCTCTCTCAAGTTGTGTTGCTCTCTCTTGTATTGGTACCACTTATAAAGAATTCATAAAACATGAAACATATACATATTGTTTTCTTATGTCACAAGCTGTAAAACATGATACATATACATTTTGTCTTCTTATGTCACAAGGTTTTCTTGTGTCACAAGCTGTAAAACATGATACATATAATATAATACACTCGGACGTCACATGCTTTTACTTTTACTTTTACTTCTTGTGTTTATTGTGTCACATGCTATTGTCCTCTTCTCCACGCATGCTCCACACATCAACTTGTCCTCTTCTCCACTCTGCAAAAGCATGAATATACTTTAACTAATCAAAAGAGCATAAATAGACAATAGACAGAAACAATCTAACCAAAACAATGTTAAGACACAGAAGCATTAACCAAAACAAACTCCAGCATTAAGACAAAAATAAACAATATTATAGACGCAATAAAATACAAAGACTCTGACACAATAAGAACCAGCATTAAAAGACAAAGATAAACAAACTCACACAGAAAGCATTAAGATAAACAAAGCCAACAAGCTTACTTAAACTAAATAGCCAACATGTCACTAATAAGCTTATATTTTAAAGCTATTTCAAGTTCAGTCAGTGGCTCAGTCTTTGCAATTAGGCTCTCAAGCAATTTCTGCTTGTTAAGCAACTCCTTGAAGGCAAAGTCTTTTTCCTTCATCTCCCAAATGTTCTGAAACTCCATCCTCGCCTTCACTTCCTCTTCCATACTCCCCGGCTTGCTCACAGACTTTTTTCCTGAAGCCTTTAAAGCTTTAACACCAATTGGCCGAGCAAATGCTTCATCCTCTCCATAGTTTCCTGCCACAGAAGTTGATGACTGGTCATCTAACTTCCTTCTTTTTAATTGAACTTTTTCTTTAGTACTAGAAGCTCCACACCATTTTTGATCATGGCGAAGCTCCAACCACGCATGCTCCAGTGTGAACTTTACCTTGTAGTCATTGTAAAATATCTTGTGAACCGTGGACAAAACGTCATTCTCGTTTTGTCCACTCGATCTCTGTTTCGTCCCAGCTTCATAACACCCAACAAAATTACAAACGCCTTCATTAATATTTCTCCACCTTTGTTTACAGTGTGTTGGCTCTCTTTTTCGCAAACCGGCCAGCTTTGGACTGGCAGCAAAATAATCAGTAATCCGTTTCCAAAATGCTATTGCTTTCTTCTCATTCCCAACCACTGGGTCTTTGGAAGTATTCAGCAAAGCACTTATGAGGACAATATCCTCTGTTGGTGACCATTTACGTCTCTCCTTGCGGTTAGACACATTCTGCATCTTTGGTGCCATATTCAGTCCATTGTGAACAGAACACAGAGGCATCCGACGCAAAGATACCTATACTAGGCTCACATGGTACAGACTGATAAGGGTGATGAGCGTTTTTTTTGTTGGCTGTTCAAGAGGGTTTGAAAGCTACATTGTTGAGAATATGGATCCATAAGCTTGTCTAAAGGGGAAGGAAAGAACAAAACAGAAGGAATTTGCTTCAGAGTAAGAATTAGCTTTGAATAAAAATTTAGTTTTGTAGAAGTAGTTAGGTTTGGAGACGGGGATAGCTTCGGAGTCTCCTTTTATAGTTGTTAAAGTTTTAAGTGGTTGAACGTTTAAAGGCATGTTTTAATGTTGTTACAGTTTTTTAGTTGTTGAGAATTTAAGTTTTTAAAGTTTTTAGTTGTTAACGGCAATCAATATCGACACCTAAACCTAAACACAACCACGCAAAGTAGATGTAAATCACTTCAAAACTAAAGGCCATTTAATTACAGAAAAGAAGCTTTTAATTAGGTTTGGAGAAGGGAATAGTTTTGGAATCAAGTTTTATAGTTGTTAAAGTTTTAAGTTGTTGAAGGTTTAAAGGTAAGTTTTAATGTTGTTACAGTTTTTTAGTTGTTGAGAATTTAAGTTTTTAAAGTTTTTAGTTGTTAATGGAAATCAATATCGCCACCTAAACCTAAACACAACCACGCAAAATAGATGTAAATTACAAAGAAGAAGCTTTTAATTACCTCTTTCCAACAGTGAAGTGAAAGATAAGTTTTGATGACGTTGAATCCGTTTCCTTTTCTGAGACTTGATTCCGTAATGAATGAGTAGACACGCTC